TTTAATTTAAATAAATAAGTTTATTTGTTTATTTTGCTGTAAGGGAGATTAAACTCAGGATCTTGCACATGCTAGGCAGGTTCTTATGCTGCTGAGCTGTCTCCCCAGCTATTAGTATGCTCTTTTGCTAATTCACTGCAGCAGAAGTTTAGGTTATTCATAAGGCACCTTTCTTCTTTGTAGATGCATATATTATTGGTATATACCTTTGTCTTTCTTTTCTATATCTCATGTTTTTGATATTCCAATTTCATTTGTTTCATTTATATTTTTAGATTTTCTTATGAATTCTAGTTTTAATCTTTAGAACATTTTTGTAGTTACTTATTCTTAATCTTTCTATGCATTGAATTAAGTAAATGTAGCTGTATATCAATCATATTTTGAATATACAGATACAAAATGGTCCTTTACTTGTATCCCCTGTTTGTTTAGTTTTGTCAAAAAGGGTATTCCTTGGAAAACCTTCTCTTAATTCCTTGGAGCACTTTCTCTTAATTCTTTGGAATACCTTTCTCTGACAAAACTAGACAAACAAAGGGATACAAACGAAGGACCATTTTGTATCTGTACATTCATAATAGTTAGGATAGATATACAGCTACATTCTCTTAATTCAATGAATAGAAAGATTTGTTCTAATAGCATTTGTGGACAGGATATCAGGTCTGCATCTTGTACAATGAATAACCACTAAGACAACAATATGCAGTATATTGATTATTGAAACTGTCCTACTAATGGGTTTTGAAATTGTCTCTTTGCTATTTGTTTCTCAATAATTAATAAAAAAAAGAACATAAAACATGTTGAGGCTTGGAAATTTGTTGTGAAGAATGCATGGCAAAAAATGGGAGTGCAGAGGAAGCCTCACGTTCCTTTCATATTTTTTCTTTTTTATCATCTTACTTCCTTAACATTACCTGACCAAGTAAACAGCAGGATGGGTCAAATGCATGAAATATGACATCTTGAAATTTGTGGTTCCTTCAACAAAACAGTTTGTTCTTTATGTACATGTGTTTGTATTTAAGGATTCTTAGTTTTGGAAAATTCATTAGATTTCCTTCACTTATCTCTGAATGCTTGAGAAAAACCCCCCATAAGCGCTCAAAAGTAGAATGAAGAGATACCTACCAGACAGTAGATATTTTCTATAGGAATGTCCATTATGGGATATCAATGAAACACATCACGTGCAGGTTTTTTTTCCTTTTTTTTTTTTTTTTTTTTTTTTTTTTTTTTTTTTTTTTTTTTTTCAATGCCTTCATTCAGTCAATAAACTTTGGATTCAAATCAAAGATCTGCCTCAATGTTCTGTATGTCCCTATACCTGCTACTCTAGGAAATTTCTTCAAATTTTTTTCTTTCTGTCCTTTGACAATAACCACTGGTTTCCTGCACAATCAGAAACTAGAGCCATCTAATTGTGTATACAGTACCATAAATTGTGCACAATCCATGGCTTTTCAGATGCTGGGATACCCACCTACATGTATGAGTTCCAGTATTGTCCAAGCTTCTCACCAGATTTGAGACCCAGGACAGTGATAGGAGACCACGGGGATGAGGTCTACTCAGTGTTTGGGGCTCCATTTTTAAAAGGTAATGGCTGTTATTTTCTTCATTGAAATTCTATATTCTTTCTAGTGTTTTTCTTTTTGATTTTTTACTCATTTTAAGTAATGTATATTTTCTGGCTAACTTAGAATTAGGAGACTTAAAGGTGTGATGACCTTGAACAAGTTTCTCCATCTCTACTGGACTCCTGATTTCATATCACGGGACTAAACTATGTTGGCAGACAACAATATATGATGTCTTAATTATTGTAACTGTCCTACAAACCTTTTTCGAAATTGTCTCTTTATTGTTTCTTTCTCAATAAATTTTTTTAAAAATGAAGTAAAAATAAAATATGTTGGCAGAACACAGGCTTTCCCCTGATCTAACATGCATGTTAGAAGATGGGTGCTCACACTGCCCAACTTGAACATGTCATAAGTGAGAGAGGAACTGAATATTCTGAATATTTTGACCTGATTGAGTACAAAAATACTATGGCTTGATTTTGTACTGTCTGGTATCTATCATAATGTGAATGATGAGATGGCTAATAAAAGGTCTAATCTTATGTGTCCAACTCACTTCTGTCATTTCATATATCCAAAACATGAATTTTAACCTTAATATACTTAAAAATATCAAATTTAATGAAGTATTCTCATAAATATGTTAAGTTCTTCAGTTTGACTTATAACTCACATCACAGTTCTTCACGACACCCATGTGTCACTGTGTATCTCTCACTTTGGCGGTTTTTCAGATCCTTTGCCTTTATAATGTGTTTCAGACTCTTTGAATTGTAGATGTGTATAATAAAATGTTTTTGTTACTTTTATCTCATGGCTGAGACAAAATTACAGACACTCAATGTTAAGGAAGGACAATTTTATTTTGGTTACACTTTATGGAGGTTTCAGTCCATACCTGGCTGGTTTGAAGGCACAGTGGCATATGGCAGAGGTCAATAGTTCATGGCAGAAGAAGACAACAAAATCACTAAGAATAAAGAGAAGCAGCAGGGAGCAAGTCTCTTTCCTTTCCTTATATTGTATTCAGGATGCCTGCTGCAGGATGGGTATAGCATTCATCTCCGTGATCCCAGCATTGAATCCTGAACCAATCACACACTGTAGAAGCCATGCATAGTGTGAGGCTATAGGTGGGCAGAAAACATAACAGAAAATTAAAACATATACAACAAAAAGCAACTTTATAAGATACAGGAAAAGCTAATGAATGACACTGCTATTATGAGGGTAAGAAGTAGACACAGAAGACAAAGGCAGCCAGCATATCGAGTCATATACAATGACTCTCCAGATAAGTGCATAGCAAATACAAGAAAAAACTTTTAAAATCCAGATGTTAGACTCTACAGGCAAGGAATAAAGGCCAAGAGTAAATTTGTAACCAATCCCATTTGCTTCAATTGCTGGTGCCTTAACAAACCACATGTTGAGTACTAAAGATTTTTTTGGTTTTTATTCCTGTGTAGCGGGAGCCTCAGAAGAAGAGATCAACCTCAGCAAGATGTTGATGAAATTCTGGGCCAACTTTGCTCGAACTGGGTGAGGCTGGTGGCAAAAATGAAAAGCATTTGTGATGGTGTGGTTGGGCATACCTGCTGGCCTAGGGTGTCTTCTATAGCTGGATCAAACACTGGACTCCTAGATCATAGCACTGTCACTGTGGGATTACATTATACAGGCACATGCTGCTCCAGGAGTTCCAGCAGACTCTGTCTGTGGTGGCGCATGGGTCTCTGTTGAGATAAGCCAGTGGAAAGTTGAAAGTCTCAGAAAAATGGGATCCAATAGGTTATGTTGGGGAAATTCTCTTTGATTCTGTTTCCAGGAATCCCAATGGGGAGGGGCTGCCCAACTGGCCAGAGTATGACCAGAAGGAAGGATACCTGCAGATTGGTGCCACAACCCAGGCTCTACAGGGACTGAAAACCAAAGAAGTGGCTTTCCAGACCAAGCTTCTAGTGAAGAAGACCATGAGGAATCTACACCAGAATGGGCACATAGAGCTCTGAAGAGAAAACCAGGCTTCAGGAGCCTAAAGCAATTAACACAGGTATATTCTACAGAAGATGTTTGAAAGACAAGCTTGCATATGTTTACATTGGATAAAGAATTTTTTGTTGAGGGTGAGTAGCGTCCAGGTGTGTGGAATTTTTGTACAGTGGCCTGAATTTAGAGAAAGCAAATATTATATTTTGACACAAAAGTCAGTGTCTATGTCCTGAGTTAGACATGGAATCAGTCATCCTCACTAAGTGAAGGATGATGGGAGGCAGACACCTTTTCAGTGCTGGTGCAAGTGAAAATATGTAGTAGGAAATATTACTCTTTTAAAAACCGTTGTTCTCTTTGCAGCTCCCTAGCTATGTAACTGTTTATTGGCTGTGTAACTGCTGTCTTTATTTAGATCTCTCACCACAAGTGCATACTCAAACACTAAGGATACTTGATTGTATCAACGTTTCTGAACATTATTGTAGTATTGTATCTGATGGTGTTAATGTAACAATTGATCTCACTCTGATAGCTACTCAGAACTGTCAGGCTTCTAGTCTGCCTTAAGTAACTCCTGCTTATGCCTGACATAAAATTCTGCTCACAGACACTCAACATCTGGCTTTGGTTGGAAGTTATTCTTCCCAGGATCACATCTATGAAATAAAGCTGTTCATTGTGTGCTTACTTCTTTTGGTGTCTTTCTTTTCATGGACTGAGTTTTGCCACACCAATGACTTGCTGAATGACCACCCTGAATTTCAAAATATTAGAATCATTGGAGGAGAGCCAGGATGAGAACATTGTACAGCTTCTTCCTACACAATCTTAATGTAACTTTCTTATGAGTTCATTTGAAAAGATATGTAACTAAAAAATAACCAGTGTAGAACAGTATGAAAATTAAAATCCTCGGGCAGCATGGAGCCACATCAAAATCTCCACCAATTACAAACACTTCTCAGTGGCCATCTGCCAGGTGAACTTGAATGCTTTGGGAGGTGTTAAGACTGGAGAAAGCCTGTCTCTGGTGCACAGGCATGGAATACTACTTAGATCATTTTCTACTTTGGAAGTGAATTGTAAAGTCATTGCAGAAACATCAGCAAAAACTGTTTCCCTTGTATCATTCATGGGGAAATATTCTGGGAGGAAAAAAAAGGAAACACTTAAAGCTCTGTTTCTTCTGAATATGGTACAGATTTATTGATGAAGATACTTAAACATCTTTAGTACCTAAAGAAGGGAAGATTCATAGCGAAAATCACCTCATAGATGATGGGATAGGGGATCCCATCTTTGGACTAGAAAAACACTACAGAAAGATTTGCTCAGTACAAGCTCAGACTCATAAACACCAAGTAATTGGAATCTGCTTATATGATGTTAAAGACTTAGATAAACCATTTATTAAAAATATGGTAAATGACAACAAAAAGAAAAATATGGTAAGCAATGAAGATAGGACTTTAAAGTACCATGTCAAAAGGATTTCAATTTTCACTTAATTGATATTTCATTGCTTGAATGTGTAATGCGATCACTTGAAGATAGGTATTGTATACAGAAGATACTCACTAAAATAATTTTAAAGGAGGTCTGCATAGTAATAAAATAATGAAGTTAAATGGAATCATTAAAAACCTCAATGTCAAAATAAAAAAGTTAGAAAAAAATTTAAAACTATATAAATACACCAGTAACTGTCATGGTCAGTATGCATGTCCACAACACACTAGAACTTTGTGC